ACATGGCGTGCAAGGCATTTTGTTGCTCCCAGCTGATTAATTTAAGAAAAAGCATGTGTTAACCATCAAAAATATCCGACGAGCCATCAGACACGCCTTCACAGTTTCCAACGTCTATTGTATTGTGCGGAAAAATCAGAGAATCAAAAGAACTCAAGGGCAGAAGCGCCAAAACATCTATACACCAAGTGGTCAAAGGGACGACAGTGATCCACCTTGACATCATAATGACCATCCTGAATAACTTCTGGAGCCATAAAAAATGGTGTGCCAACAAAAGTGTTTGCTTTCAGTCCAGCAACAGTGGACAAAAATCGCGCGACGCCAAAGTCACCGAGTTTCACTGCTCCAGTGGTCTCATCCAACAAGATGTTAGCACCTAAAAGGCTCATGGAAGGAAGAGCGAGTACTTTTAACAGATAATCATTTACAAAAACTCGAAAGCGGTAAAACTCTATCCGAAACGATAAAATGCATGCGCCAAAGAGCATGTAATTCCTTACGGAAAGAATGCCCGTCAAAAAAGTAGTCGCCAATTGCAAAGGAAAATAGTATAAAGGCCCACCTTTTATATCACGATGTATTTTCCTCTCGCTGTGAAGATAGTCTAGACCTTTCAGAATCTCTCTTAGAATCACAGCAATATGACTTTCATCCAGCTTCCCACTTTTGGTAAGGTCGAGCGCTGATCCACCGCCCAGATATTCCATGATGATCCATAACTTCGAACCCTGAAAGCCACGGTAAAAATGAAGATAAGTAGCAGCGACAAATAATGATGAACTGTTGCGAAAACAAGTGGTGTTCGCACAGCCTTCTCTCTACGACTTGCACGCAAAAATAGGAGCAGCACTGGTTCGAAGCGGATAATAGACCAGATAATAACCATGCAAGTCTCAGCTAGAGACTACTTAGAGACAAAGGCGGCGACCATGTAATAGAGGTAAGCGCGGGCGAACGGGTCCTGATGATAAAACATACTCAGAGTCGATTAAGAGAAGTGGCTCAATCGCTGGATACGCCCCCCCCCCTAAGTTCTACCTCGATACCCACGACCCAGCATTTTCGTTTGCTTACCGTAG